AAATGAGGCAGGGTTGCTCTTGGCAATCTTCAGGGTATGGTTAACCTTTAGACAATGTTCCTGCTGGCTTTCCCTCTATGATCTGAGAGAAGGAAGAAAGGGATAGGAACTGTCATTTGTTTGAACACCTGCCATGAATCAGCCATAATATAGTAAGCATTTAACTCCAGGTATTTAATCCTTGTACACTATAAAGCAGGCCTTATGTGTCCCAATTTACAGATGAAAAGTTGAGGTTCAGAGAGCTAAGGTACAGTGCCTCAGGTGATACAGCTACTGTGACAGAGCCAGGATTTGAACACAGGTCTGTCTGACTCCAAAACCGATGCTCTTTCTTCTATGCAAGGTCAGTGTGAAGAAGAGTACAGGTGGCTTCCTTCCCAGCCCCTCCCCCCCAGTATCATTCTCACTTCTCAAGTAATGCAGAGAAAGCCCTGGACCCAACATTGTTAGGTCCATGTCTAAAACTGTTTTAGGGAGGATGTTGCCTTCTGACCTTGAACCTGTATCTGCTTTTCTGGTCCCCTAGCCTGCTTTAGCCCACAAAGCCAGGCTGGAAGCAGCAAACTCTGTCCAGTCTTCCCAAGTCTGATCTGGAACTCTGTATGCTTGAGCAGAAAGCACAACAGAAATGGGGCCTCTGAAATGGGGAAGAAATGAGACAGGGGCAAAAATACCCTCGGCTTGGGAGGTTTGAATTGTCAAGGGCCTTTCCTAGAATAAAAGCAAGACTGGACTCTCAAAAACACCTGGGCATCGACTCAGGGCTCTGCAATGTCTTCTGCATCTTTCAGGCAAGGAGGAGTTCCTGAAGACTCTTATAATGGCTTGGAAGGGCATGGTTTGCAGGAGTCACTCAGCTTTGGCTAGAGTTGCTATGTTGGTGTGAGGTAGGGGGCACAGGGCCACATCTGCTGGAAACACCAATAAAGCTGTTTTGGCAGAAGCCCCATGGGGATTCCGTAGAAGCGTGTGTTCCAAATAATGGGATAAAGTTACTCTCACTCACCAATTCAGGACATCAACTGAATTCTCCACCAGCAGTAGAACAGGTTCAGCTGATGTGTTTTCTTTAAGTTAAAAACCTTCGCAGAAAGTGGCCAGATGCCTCAGTAAGCAGGAAATGGGAGAGGTGGAGAGAGGCGATCAGTGGTCCTCGAGGTTGGGTCACAGCCCCCTTGGCTCCAATCTGCTCGGCAAAAGCAGTGGGTCTGCTTGTGTCTATTTCTCTGTATCTCTCCCTGAGCGTCAGACAATCCACCTATGAATATCAGACTGATTCCTTCACATCTCTGCTGGGAGTTTGGAGGGGAGGAGGGAATGGGGAAAGGGTTCCCTATTTAGAAATTGCATTGAGATGGAAAGACAATATGACACATCGGCTCATGTCAAAGGAGCTCATTCTTCCCGCCTACAGCATTAGCAATTTCCTACTGAGGTTTAATTTCTTTTTTGAAATTATTATTTTGTTTTAATTTATTTTATTTGTAGCATAACTCAACAGGACATTGCTGCTCAGAACAGGCTGGGAAGCTTCCAAGGGCAGTCAGGCCACTGCCTAAGAGACTTGGGGTGGGGGACGGAGGGGAAATGTACTTTGGCTATTTCTGATCAGAGGAGGGCAAAGGAGTGGGAGGCCGCTGGTTTTTGCCTCAGGCCTCTTCTCGTTCTTCCCCTCGCCTCACCCCCAACCCCCTCTCCTGCTTCTGAGCAGTCTGGCCTCCGGGGCTCCAGGCTCAGGATGCTCCAGCTATGACTGTACAGGAGATGAGAGTAATGAGGGACGAGAAGCCCAAAGTGGGTCTGAACATCTGTGACACACTCTTTTCTTGAGAGCCAGAAAAACCTGCTCCTCACTCCCTCCTTTCCCTGCTCAGCTTCCTCCTTTCCCCTCCTGTAAAATCCTAGAGTGTGGTTGCTGGACGGAGACTCAAAGAGCTCCTTATCCCACTTCATTGTCTTGCCAATAAGGAAACCTAGGCCCTGGCAGGGGAGGTGACTGCCCCGGGGCTGGTTTGGTGCACCAGTCGTGGAACCCAGCCTCCTGTGCCTTTGTTTGCCTATGCCATGCTGGCTGTCTCCACCCCCTCCTTCTCTTCCCCACCCCTAAATAAAACTCAGAGTGGTCTTCCTGTGAGAGGTAGCATTGAGGGGCAACAATTTCACATCTTCCCTCTCCCTCCCTCCCCAGGTCTGAGTAGGACAGACCCGGGAGTCTGAATTTGGTCTCTTCACATGGGAAGAAGCATAGATGTGTTTTGGGAGTGGGCTTGTAAGGGAAAGGGGTTCTAGAGAGGAAAGGGTCCCATCTTTACATGAGGATTTTTTTTCTGCTTTGTGGCTGGTTATGTGACCACAAGTATCAGCAATTAACTGTGGGGGAGAGGGCAGGAAAATGACCACTAAGGCAGAGCTTTGTTCTTAATGTAAGAAAAACTACCTTTCTCTTTTCTCTCTCTTTCTGAATGAGTGTCCCTTTATATATCCCTTTATATGCATGGCAGTTCTGTCTCTCTCTCTGCTCTCTGAATCTATCTCCTATATTTGTCTCTTTGTATGTCTCTCTCATTCTCTGCCTCTCCAGGTGTCTCTGTCTCTTATCTCTATCTCGGTCTCTGTCTCTCTTGCTTCTCTCTCTCATACACACGCACACAGTCACTTGCACAATCCAGATTCAATGGTTATTGACTGGGGAACCCCAGCCCCTTTCCGCAGCCCTGTCAGAGCAGAACCTTTTCCTCCCCGTTAGGATGAGAAATGCCAGGTCCGGAGCTGCTGCCGGGGCACCAGAGACGCTGCAGAACCGCCTGCCGAGTGTGGAGGCAGAATCCGGGAACAATGAGAAATTATCTGTTAATTCTCGGTTCCTACCACCTGCTCTGCTCCGAACAGGCTCCTTTGCCTTCAGTTTAGATGCAAATTCCCCCACTCGTTGTAAAGCAAAATATTGATTTCCCTGCATCACGGGCCTGGGCCCTTGGAACAGACCTGTGTTTTTTCATTTTCTGCAAAGGCAACACAGGGCGCTTTGTTCTGCAAATTTCCCCGGGAATTTGAGAGGGGGAGGGAGAAATCGCCGCGGAGTGAGAGTTGCCGTAAACATGGGCAGAGAGCGGTTCTTCTCCATTTGTTGTTTTACATAAACACAAACCAACCCCCTCGGAAACTGCTAACGAGCGTGTGACAAGGGGCCTCTGAGCTCCAGTCTCTCCCAGCTACTGAGCTCTGCATCGGGTGGTGGAGGGAAAAGTGATGGGGCCTCTGGGCCCCTCAGGTGGGTTCTAAGAGCACTGGGAGGAGAATGGGGACTCCACAGCCTCACCTGTTCTTGGAACAGCAGCTGAGCACCTCCCACAGGAAGGCGGCCTGGATTGCATTGTGTGGCTGGGATCATGCCTGCTCAGTCCCTCCTGCCTGAGTTCCTAGCCCTCCCCTGTCGCAAGCTCCTGAAGTCAGGGTGGAAGCTTCGAACCCACGGCAATTGCCCGCCCCACCCCCGCCTCCCTAACGGGGTGCCCACGCGACGGTCGCACCAACAGGGCCTTCAGCACCATGGACAGAGCTAGGAAGCGCATGGGGGAGAGGAAGAACCTCCCAGTTAGGCCAGGGTCCTCTTAGGCCTTGGCTTGACCCTCTGTATCCAGGGCATGCCCAGGGCTGTCAAGTGTCGGCTAGCGCGGCTGGTGCAGATGGAGCACGATGGACACCGCCAGGAGCTGGGGCTCCGAATCTCCTGCCTCCGGAACGTGAGTCACCTCCCGAGCTACTTCCAATTAGCATGTTAATTAGGAGGAGAGACCCTCCTCCTCCATCCGCCACCCGGGTACACACCAGCCCCGTGGCTTCCAGAGGCTCCAGCTAAAGTTTCCTTCCCAGCTCCGGGAAGGCAAAGGGACCTGAGCCTGGGGTTTCAGGTGAACCCCACAGAGGAAGAGGCCCACCCGCCGACCAGCTGATGACGCAAGACTTTTGTGACAGGGCCCCCTCAGGGCCGCGACCCGGTGGCTCTCCACAGACCTCCAGGCTGAGTGAGGCGCCTAGGAGCCCCTCAGTCAATCTGCTCCTGGACCTCACGCCAGGATTCCTAGAGGGAATTGTTCTGCCCTATCTAGCCTCAATCCTCCCGTTTAGTTTTCGGTCTTCCTGGACCTTGTTACGCTTAATAGCAAGCGTAACATCAGTGGTGTCGCACGGATGCGGAGAGATGGGTCTGGCGGGAACCGAGAGCCCTCTTGAAACACCCCCCCCCATTCCGATTCGCCAGAAACTTTCCCTTCCCGTTGCCATGGAGAGAGACGGCCGCTGCCTCCCGTCGCCATAGCAACGTGCGGGTACCGCGGACCTCAGGATTGCGGGGCTCAGAAAGTCTTTTTGCAGTTCGCATCGCCCCGCAGTCTTAGGGTTTTCTGTCTTCGAAGCTGCGACTTGGGGCAAGTCTGACTAATTCCTCCCATCAGGAACCTTGGCCAAGGTCCTCCCACCCCCAGCGGGGTCATCCTTCTTTCTGTAATAGGTTTGTCTATTTCGTTGCCACTTGTGTGGCATGTGGCAATTTACCAAGTGTTTTCACAAACACTATCTTTATATCCCCAGGCAACCCGTGAAACACTCGTAATCATTATACCCCTTATAGAGAGAGGAAAAACTGAGGCTCAGAGAGGCCCAAGGTCACACCAGGACGTGAATGCGGAGCCAGATCCCAGGCTCTTTCCCGAGTGTTGCACCCTCCAGGATGCGGAACAACCTGGCTCCCCCGCCTTGAACCGCCCGGACTCAGACTGGTCGCTGAGTGTAGAGGGGGCGGCCGTGAGGCGCCAGACTTGCCAGCTGCTGCGGGATGCCACGTGAGGGGCGGAGACCCTGCGGGGAAGTGATTAAAAGCCGAACGGAGCCCGAGGGGGCCGCTGCGGCGAGGGTCTTCTTGGGGCCGCCTTGCCCCGCCCCAGTCCGGCCGCGGCGCGGTTTCGGGCGGCTGCTTGGAGGGCTGGGGTATCCAGGGCATGAGCGGGGTGTGGGAGACCGGGGAGCCTCGGTGCCAGGCGGCGCTCGCGGTCCTGGCCTCGCTGTGTCGGGCTCGGCCGCCCCCTCTCGGGCTGGACGTGGAGACTTGTCGGAGCTTCGAGCTAGAGCCCCCAGAGCGGAGTCCGAGCGCTGCCGACGCAGGTAACAGAAAAGCCGAGGCCCCCTCCCTTCCCGGATTCTCGCCCTGGCTGTCCCCGCTCCCCAAAGCCCCAACCCCGGGAACCCCGGAACCTTGATGGAGAACTCCGGCTCAGGATTCTGGATTCGTCTCCAGCCTCGGCCAGTGCCCTGGCCCATAACCTGCAGGGCAAGCAGAGAGACGTGAAGGGGACCCGGGAGGGAGAGAATCCCACTGCCCCCTCCTGTGTGACTCTGCGGGGCCCCCGCGAAAGCCGGGCTCCCGGGACGCGGCGCCCCAAGGGGCCTCAGTTTCCCTCCTGTCTCTCTGCTCGCTCTGCGGGCGATCTGCCAGTGGTGGGGTCTATAGAGCGAGCAGGAGACCAGGGACATCCCGGCTGAGGAAGTAACTCGTCTCTTCGGGGTGTCGACGTCCCTGGGTGCGCCTGTCGGTCTGTCCGTTAGCTTATCTGTTCTCTCGGGGAACGCGGCCCGAGCCCCCTGGGTCTCTCAGGGAGAAACTTGGATCTGCGGCTGGCACGAGGTCTTTGTGTCCGGGTGTCTCCGGCTGCGAGTGGCTTTCTGCGTCTCCGCTGGGGGGCGGGGGGCGGGGTGGGGGAGGGTGTCTCAGCACCCTACCCCCTACCCCCCGCCCCTATAACTTGCTCCCTCGGTCTCTCTCTGACTCACTCGGACTCGGGGCCGGTGCGCGGCTGAGCCGGTGCCTCTTGCCGACTTTGCCAAGCGGGCGCCTCCTGCCCGAACGGTGCGGACCCTGCGCCGGACGCAGTCCCAGGCGGCCGCCGAGCCCAGGCGGGAGCCCGCGCCGGTCGAGCTCGCCGGAGCGGGTGAGTCCGGAGCCCGAGCCCCGCGGGGCCCGGGCCCGGCGCACAGCTGCGGCGTCTCCCGGGAGTCGCGACAGCGGGAATGGCGTGTCGCGCCCTGGCGGCCGGAGCCGCGGGTGGGTGGGCAGCTTGGCGGCCGGCCGGCGGCGGGTATTTACCTGCCTCACCGGCGCCGCGCGGCCGCGCTTGCCCGCTACAGCCGGGCTTCTTTGCCGGATCCCGACATCTGGAGGGTCCTGGGCGGAAGGGAGTACCGGGTCGCGTTCCCTCTGCGCGGGGAGAGGCTGCGAGCAGTGCGAAGCCTCGAGAGAATGCGGAGTGGGGGTGGGGAGATCCTGCAGGGACCAAGGCGCCGGGGTTCCTTTGGCTCCGCAGACTGCACCCCTCCTTGTACCCCGACCCTGACCCCGGTGGCACTGGGCCTAGGGGTACGCTGGGGTCGCCCCGCGGCTGCGCACCACCCGCGCGGGAAAGCGAGGAGGGGGCCTCGAGAGGCGGGAATTTCGTCTCCACGCGCTTCTCCTGGGACCGGAAGCCGCGGTTCTTGGAGGAGGTACAGGTGGGGTAAGCTCCCCAGAGGCCGCAGGTTCCAGGGCCCTGTTTTCACTTGAGGTTAGAGGTCGGAGATACAGATAGGTCCTAGGTTAGGAACAGTGCCGCTGGGGGATGGGGGAGAGAGAAGAGGGTAGTGGGCCAGGGGAGGCTTGTGTGCGTGAGGTGGAGTTGTGTCCAGCCTCGGGGCGCGTGGAGCCCACCTCGGCCCTGTGTGGGTTGTAGGGGGGCGCTGCTCCCTCTCTCTCTCTCTCTCCGGTCCTGGCAATGTTTAATCAATGGGACAATTACTGCAGCAGAAGGGACTGAGGTTAGACCTGCAGAAGAACTTTTAGAGGGTGGTACAGTGATGGAGGTTTAAGAGGTTGATTCTTCTTGAAGAATCTCTGAGCAAATTAGGCCCAGCAAGTATTATCAGACTTTGGTTCTCCGTGCCCTCACCATCTACACCACCCAGCTCCCTATATCCAACAGACACACACACAATTTTCCCCAAGTCAGGGGTCAGGGTGTATCTTCCTTCCTGCCTCCCCAGCTCCTTCCATCCTTTCCTCCAGTGATCCATCTCCAGTGGGGCCCTTAATGCTGGTTCTGACCCTTCCGATCCTAAAGGGGCTAATTCAAGGTGAGAACACACCTGTCGAGTTCCGTCGGGTATGGAGGCTGTTTCTCCTGTCTGTTTAGGGCAGAAATGCTAAGGGGGGGGGGGGCGTCTGGCATATGTGTGTAGCACATCCTGATACAGGGAGGCACTGGTGTTCTGACTCCAGAGGGACACCCCATAGTCTGGAATGACAGGTACCTGGATGGCCAGGCTGCGGGTGAGAGAAGGCTGAGGGATGAGAGCCAGCAGGCCCAGATGAATCAGTATGCCTTTCCTGCAGGCTGCTTCAGAAAGCGAGGTTGAGTTGTCAGCCTTGGGGAACTTTAACTTTGGCTGCTGAATCACAAGCCTCAGTAAGCCCTGGGGCCAAGCTGGGGCGGGGGAGGGCTGAAAGGGATGGGGAAGGCCGAAGGAGACCCTTTATCATAGCAGGAGAAAGAAAATGGTTGAGCGTGGCTTTGGGATCTTGGGGGTTTAGGGGAGCACGGGGTCTGGGGAGATGCTGTGGTATTCGGGACCAGGGCCCGCAGGTATCGCACCTCCCAGCCTACTCCCTGCATCCCAGAGCCACTGTCTGGGTCCAGATTCTCCAGTCAGAGAAATGCTGCATCTTTTCATTTACAGTTTTATGAAAAATGCAAGTGACAAGAGCATGCCCAGTTCCCTTTACCATTGTATGTTTTCCCCTGCCTTCACTCCTTCTCTAAGTCTCTAGCTCATGGGATTTCTAGTAACACCCTGAGATTCAACAACAGAGATTCAGACTCTGCTATCATTTACTGGGACACTCCTATATGCCAAGGTCTGTGCTAGGAACTGCACAGGAAATCTCAATCAGACCCTGACTGGGAAACATCTCTACACAAACTGTCGAAGCTGAAAGCAAGTCCCATCTTTTTTTAACAAAAAAAACTCTAAAGGTAAAGGGTCTGCTCTCCTTCTTAATATCCACCCCCACAGTCCCACCCCAGGGGAAACTGGCAGGCAGTTCGTCACCTTTCTTTATGTCATTTTCCTTATGGAGGTGAATAAACTTTTTCCATGAGCCAGGTTGCAGAGAGTTAAGTGTGGGTAGCATGGGTTCTGCGTTGTATGGTTCTCAAGGTAGTGAGCAGAAGTACAGAGTTGTTCCAGAAAATGCAGGAATCTGTTGAGAGAGCCTGAGCTGCCCTGCCCCTCCCAGACTGGTAGGCAGGAATGGTTATTCTCTGGCTTACCTATGGCCATGAGATGTATGTGATGTTTGTTCACTTTTCTAATGACTATGGAGATGTTCTGTGATTCAGCCACCTGGCTTTAAAGTTGGCCTTTTGCAGCACAGGTATTTTTCTTGCTTGTGATGCCAAATTAAATGCACAGCATTTCATCAAAATACAAAAGTCCTGTTTCTATAACTGAGTGAGTCACTCCCTCACTCCTTGATGGAAGGAAGGAATTCTGCAGATTTCGCCTTCTTTGGGGAAAGGTGCAATGCACAATCCTTTAGAACCCATGGTGCTGCTATTCGGACACTATGGTGTGTCTTGGGCTTTACAGTTCTAGAACCAGGGTCCAGTATCTAGGGGTTGTAGAGCCCTTGGATTTACAGGTCTAGAAGTTCTCTTCTCTCTGTGTGGAAACTTCCAGAGTGGGGATGGTAGATCCAGAATACTCCATCCCTCCAAGCTCTGTACAAAAGATGTGCTCTCTTCTAACTGTCCTAACGTTACTCTGTCCTCTCTGTCCACAGAGTTGGGATATGATGTATGACTGAAAATAAGGAGGAGTAAGACTGAGGCACGTGGATCAGGCCAGGTTTCCTTGGTCTCTGTAGGGCTGTCTGGAGCGGGGCGCAGCAGGCTAAGAGAAAGTCCTGACCCAGCTAAGTGGCACCCCTGCTGGTCCGGCTTAGGAAAAGAAGCCTCTAAAAATGGAAGGACTCAGCCCCACTTGAACTGAAAGCAGAGGGGCTGAAAGTGGAAGTGAGCAGGGCATCCAGCCCTGGATGCTCCAGGTGTATGACACTACCTCATCCCTCCCTTCTCTCTGTGCGGGGCGCTGAACTGTTTTTCTCGCTCCACGAGGACCCAGGCAGACCTCTCTTCTCACTAGTTGCAGGTATAAAAAGGGAGAGGGGAGTAGAGGGAAAAGAATGAAGCTTTCTGTCTGCCTCTCCCCCCATCGCCCCAGGCTTGATTGCCCCACTCAGAGGGGCTACATGCCCTGACCAATCAGGCAGAAAGGCACAGTTATACCATCTGCCAAAATAATACTAATAATTGCTAAATTAACGCCAATGCTCTGTTAGCTCTAACACTCCACATTAGTCTCTGATTTATCCCTGAATCCCCTAATGATGGTGCAAACAGGCTCCCGGTCATAAAGCTTGGTGCGGCCATAATTAACCCAGCATTGTCTCTCCTCATCACAGCTTTTCCAAGAGCACTAATTCCTTCTCTGTCTGGACTCTGCTAATTATCCCCATTGATAGTTCGGCCTGGATCTGGGAAAGGAAGCAAAGGCTTTCTGCTGCCCCTCCCCCAACCCTAAATTTTAATTATACTACGTTCTCCTAATAAATATCCCCATTGGTAGTTAGGCCTGGATCTCGGAAAGGAAGCAAAGGCTTTCTGCTCCCCCTCCCCTCCAACCCTAAATTTTAATTATACTACGTTCTCCTAATAAATTTACAAGCCACAGCAGAGCTTATTATTAATGGAGAACGTCTGTGAGCCTCAGAACAGAATAGCCCCTGTTGCCCCAACACATACACACACTCAGGTATTTCTCAGGTACATCTCTGAATGGGACTTTTCCAGGGGCCATTGGTTATTTGCCTGGTGGCTGTAGTGTCTGCATCTTCCAGGGAAGGAGAAAGAAATGGAGGATGGGGAGGCTGGTCGTAATCCTAGTCCCCGGGGCTCTGCCCAGGTTCAGAGGGTCAGGCCAAAAAGTAGATTATGCAACCCACCCTCTCCTGATTATAGTGAAGAAATACCTCTCTAGCTTCTCTGCCCAGGCTTCTCCTCTGTAGTTCTTCAGCT